AGAATTACGTGGGAGGAAAAGAGTCACTTCTCATTCGATTCCAATGTAAATACCCAACATGTTATACGGAAAACTTCTTTCTCTGTCTCTCTCTCTGTTCTTTTTTTTTGTTCTCTCTTGTATGGTTTCACAAAATGGCCCATAATAGTTAAATAGTTCCCATCATGCATCGCCTTGAGGTGATCGTTGTCCATTTGTTAGATGTTCTAGGTAGAGAGCTCTGTTTTCAATCTCCAGTCTGTGCTTGGGTAAAAAGACCAACGAGTGTTGCAAAACTGTTCTTTCTTTCGAGAAACTGCAACAGAATGCCACCTTCACACAAAACAATTATACTTTTCCCACGATTTTCAATGGTAATTTCAAAAGATATGTATGTTTGTTGGAGAAATGCCATGAGAAAGATAATTCGCAAAGCTATCTGTTCACCTTTTCTACTAACAAAATTCTATCGACATTTTCAATTTTGTATTCATAAAATATTTAATAGAATAAAACTTTACTTTTAAACTGTCCAAAATACAACTTCAAAGTCGGTATCGTTAAATTCTAAAGCAAATAGTCAAACACTATCCGTAAAATAAACATACTCTTATAACTGCCCGACTTTGCTCTGTTGAATTAAATAAACTTTTGGAACTTCTTGGCAAAGACATAACTTTATATTTACCACATGGGTCCTCTTCACGATATTTGTTTTTAAACTTATATTCTGCGGAAATTGCAAAATCTCTAATGTGATTTATATGAAATTTCAATTACAGACTTCTTGCAAAAACTATCTCTTATCAAAATTGCATTCATAAATAGTCCATGAATTGAAGGGTGGTCAGCAAAACAGTCACATAAAGTTCCACGAACAACTTCACTGAAAACATACGGAATAATCAATGGAATTTAATTCGCATTACACAGAAGCTATAGAAGCAGAGATAAAGGGGTGAACCAGACAAAGAAAAGTCCCTTACACACACACAATCGTTGCTTAGGGAACAACTGCTGTTCCCCACAAAACTTGACACCACGAAAAAGTTTTTAATTATGAAATGGAAAGAGAATTCGGTATTTCTTGCAGAAAGACGAGAACTCCGCTTAAAATAAAAGTTTGCCATTCCACATAAAGTATTGTATACAAGAAGGAAATTGGACTAAATTGAGAAATTTATCTGGAAAAAATATTGCAAGCAATAAATATAATTATGGAGGATAAGGGCGATACTGTCGATGCCAAAACTTTAATATTTCAATCTAAATGAGAAGATGTCTTCAACCACGCTTCGTGAGCTTTTCTTTTTTATTATTTGACCCTCGTCATGTTTCTCTCCTTCCCCACCCACTGGGTGTTCGCCCCAATTTTGTCATCGCAGGAAATTTTCCAATTTTCTCAAAATACATTTTCATTTCATCAGTGTGAGTGCGGTAACGTTTTGCATTTCAACACGGAATTCTTCACCCGAAAACTGTCAGTATATATGAAACTAGAGAAGGCTTTGCCGAAAAATTTGGAGTGCTTCAATCTATCCATGAAATAATTGGATATAGTATTTCATCGATTGACTGGCAAAGGCTTCTGTTTCCAAATCACAATGGCGAAATTTAATTCTCGAACATCGCATCCTCAACTTTGAGCTGCGCATCGTAAATTGGTAGAGCTTTCAATTATGCAGTATGGCCAGGGTTCAGGCTGAATTTCGTGTGCGGATCAAATACATGTCATGCATCCTCCATTATTTCACCTACTTTTCATAATTGTGTTATATAATTCATTGCCATATGTGAGTGTTCTCGTGCTCTTGTATTCTACCCTTTTGTGCTTTGGCATTACCAACAAACAATGTAATATTTCGGAGACGTTCTCACGCACAAAACTGCGTAGAAGCATTCGCACACCCGTCTTTCGTCTTTGCCGTTAATAATTTAGTGAGACGACACAAGTCGAATTTGTGCGAATTCCTCATTTTTTACCCACTGGATGCGAGGAGAAAGGAAAATGTATTACGCACAGTGTGATCCGCATATGATGCAGAGGCAACTACACTGCTTTTCATCTTCCAAATGGAAAAGCGATATAACTTGGGCTGTACCATTCCAAAAATTATCATTCTACAAGCGCACCACTTCTTGACCATACTTTATCCATACATACACATCGTCATATGTACAACCCGAAGGTATAACGTAATTGTAAAGGTATGGCTCTGTTAACGAACACTATAGAGAGAAGAATAGAGAGGAAAAACTTTGAGTCACCAAACATAATTTTCACCTTTTTACCCACCCAATACTTTAACCACACACTTCACAATAAACCACCCTCCTCGATTCCCCTTGAATCCCAACACTTCCCAAAGTGGATTTATTCTTAGGGAATTTCATAAAGTTTGGATTAGGCATAATTCGAAGGAAAGGGGCGTTGTCCTTTGCTCAGGATCTTTCTCTTGCCGAGCCTTCTTCCTTCAGACACTCAAATATATATATATATGTACATACCTTTTGCGATTTCTTATCTCTACCACTTGTGCCCAAGTGTGAGACTACAGCAGTCGTCGCACGGTCGTTATCGATTCCTCGCTTCGTATCAACTTCAGATTATAACTTTTCTCCATATCAGGAGTATTGCCCGAGAAATTGGTGGAATGGAAAAATGGTCAAATATAGCTTTTATGACTTCTTTCTGACCCCCTATCACCACCATCCCTTTCCTGATTCAGATTCACAGTGGCCATTGGGAAAAGTGGGCCATTTCAGAGCACATGTTCAGGGCTTAAGATCCAATAAATACCGAAACTTAAAGCTGACATTGACCTTCCTCTTGAAACGCCCTTTTTCCCCTCCAACAACTCCAAAACGCGTTTCATACACATTTGGCTCTTTGAAAATCTGGCTATTTCACTGTCAATTGCTAGGGTTGGTCTATCGGAAAGCATCGTCATAATGTTTTGTGAGTGAAATATATAGGTCAATGAATAAATCAGGAAAATAAAACACATTTTCTCCGCAGTTTCTCGTCCTACATAGTCAAACTGTCGCCATGACCAGAAAGATAATTTCTGTGCCAAAAATGTCAATGTCACTTCCCTTGGCAAAATACTGTGAATTTATGCCAATTCAGCGAAACAGATTATTCTCCATAATGTGAAAAATATCACATTAAAGGACTATGTGAGAATCGTGACCCAATTCAGCGATTGTCCTTGATACACACATGCACATATGTAGTATACCGCGTATTTTTTTTTTTAATTGTATCGCGTCTGGGTAAGCAAACTCTTTTTCCCCCCACATCAAATGTATATGTACAGACCGCAACGCATGCTCCACCCTACAGGTAGCACACGACTATAATGTTATAGAGGGGAATAGCAATAGCTGATAAAAGCAATTTATCTTTGACTCTTCCGCACTACATATGTAAAGTACCACAATATCCATTTACCGTATCCGTATAATGAATAAATGAATGTTTGCGGTGGGCAAATATATGGCGGAATAAGCCAGTAATGTTCATTGGCTAATTGAAAACCATATGATATCATATGATAACGTTAAATTTTACACCAATATCCTGCACACGCGGGGGTTCACGTATGCTTAGAGTTGGGGTTGCAAAACAGCGTGTTATGCTCATAGTACTAACTCAATAGATACAACGATCTTCATAAATCATCCCTGCTTATATGAAATCTCTTCCGCTCAAGGTACATAGCCACTCTGCATAATGAAGTCAACAAACACCTGTCGACACATCATATTTAACACTCCACCGTACATACTCCAAAAAGGCGGAAGGACATCCCAAAAAAGTTAATTAAGGATCTCCCCATCCGCTGGATTATCACTGATCCTACGGCACATTGTCGTAAATTATCTGTATGGGGAAATTCACCCTCTGGATATTGTTAAAGCCTGCGTAATTCCATTAACTCATCAAAATATTTCCCTTCATCATTTTCGAGCGATTTAAAATGTTTTCTCCTCACATATATGAATGAAAAATGAACTAGGAAGAAGACAGCCCTTCTATAGTCACCATTTTCTCATATCTCATCCCAACAGTAACAAAAAGACAATATTTTCAGAATTCAAATGCACCTGAGCCACAGTTCAATTCATATTAGAAAACTTTCATGTCGAGTCGACAACCCCTGAACTGCCAAGCATTTCACAAAATGCAATGTGACACAATAAATTGACGCCCAGAGGCATTCTTCTATAGAATTCATATTAAATGAAAAATTACTACCCTCCAGCATTCCATTCATATAATGTGAACATTCGCTAAATATTTCATTTGAATACAAGGAGCATTTACGACCTCTAGTTTTACGACTCAACTGTACTGGACTAATGCTGCTGTAAGGATAAAATTTTATAACGTCTAGCCCTGATGGAACTAAGTTTGCAACATGTACACAAAGAACCTTAACAACGAGTAATGGATTTGAATTAATTATTAAAAGCAGTAGAAGTTACCTCAGGATAATAATATTATTTGATGAGAAGCTGCATTTTATAAAATGTAATATTGCAAGCACTGCTTCAATTTAATTATTGAGATAATTATTTGCTATTGTCCGTGCTTTTGAATAATTCTATCATTTTAATTTCATATACATTTTGAACTATTTCCCAATATTCATTTAGCAAATGAAATGAGTTTGTAAAAACCTCATCAAATTATTTATGAAAGAGTTTCAATTATGACTAATTAAATAATATTCAGCAGACAGGACACGAAAAAATTTCGTCAAATTGAAAGCTGGTTTATAAACTATTCAAAGTATTTAGATAATTCACTACGAATATCCATTGGCACTATATTCTTGACTAAAATGATTTCCAGAAATTGAGTATATCCTTGCAATATCCTCAAGAGTTGCGATGAAAAGCTCTTTTCTACACACTCAACTTCTAAATTTTCGTTTTATACGAATTTTCGACAATGTTCTTCGCTCTCTCTCTCACGTAGTTTTGAATTTTTTCATATGAGTAAGTTCACTTACCTTCCAGAGTGCCACTATAAATGCGAGACACGTCAAAGTCTAATGGTCCTAGAGTGTTCTCAATTTCGACATTTGGACTAAACACCGACTGTGGATCTTCGTGGAGCAGCAATCGGAATTCTCTGGAAATAGGGAGAGAGAGAAAACACACACAATTGAAAAAAAATTACTTTGACTATACATTTTCACACGATATTCAAACGTGTTAAATTTTTAAACATGGAAAACTCTTTCACCGCGTTATTATTTTACAAGCACTCACTTTATAGCCAATTACCCATTCGAGTTACATAGAAACATGAGTAAAAACTCATCTGTATTGAAGGACGCATCTCGTAAATCCCATATTTATTGCACAATCACAATTGAAAATGAAAACCATTATCTTGATTTTCTCGAAATTAAATTTCACTCCCAAAAAATAAATCACCATACCGTCTACATCGAACGCCATGGCAAATGTGAAAAGCATTGTATGTTAAAATGATTTCCACATGCGAAACTTCCAAAATTCATTTCAATCCCAAATAAGGTTGGCGCTCGTGATCTTGTCAACTTTCCTTCATCGATGGACACGCGCGTCGTTTCCTCAATGAACACATATATGTATACAATAAACAAACCTCAAATAAGACATTTCAAGAGACTTGCCAAGCGAACGAGATGTGAGAAAATCAAAAAAAAAGTTTGTTGGCACAAATTTATTTTATTCATCTCCTCCAAACTAAGAAAAATATGATAATAGTCGTGATTAATTATTCCTCGATCATTTATCCTCGGTCTTCCCAATTACATGAGAAATCACGAGTCATTTCCATTGAAAGCATTTCCGGATCTACGCGATGTAACAAAGGAGAAGCCCAAAACTACGCGCTCATAATTTTGTGTAACTAAATAGTACACAATAAATTGAAAGCGAGCAGGAAGTCGCTTTCATGGTGAGCGCTGAGCATTAATAAATGAATGTGCTAAAGGAGAAAGGACACGGATGACATTATTCCGACAACACGGCAACAGTGAACGAGTACAATCTGTTACTTAAGTCGCACAAAGATAATGTACACGTGCATACATACAACACTTCGCTGCAATTCCCAACCCCATTCATCTAATTTCACGGAAAACTTATGAAAAATAACATTTGCAACTCTCCCCACCCACAAAGATGTTCATGATCTTGAGAAAAAGTGTGTGCAATTTGCTTATTTATTTACACTCATGCACAAATTTCACCTTTTGTACAATATTTAAACAACCTCTGTTAAAATTCCAACATAAATTTACCACCGTGCCTCATGTGCACTATTTTACATTGGGCAAACTTGTTAAAGTAAGACTACCCAAGTGATTACGTTTTAGTGGTGCATGCAAATATAGATAAATTCATCTAGAGCTCCTACAAAACTCCCTGTAAATTCCCTGAATATACTCCTCATGACAGAGCTCAAAGCAAACACACAGCGTAAAATTCACCGTGTATAAATGAAAAATCGCAAATATGCTTGTGGTAAACATTGAAACATATTTTCTGGCATTTTTCCCACAGAAGCCGGTTGCACACGCTGTCTCTTTGTCACTTCCGAGTTGCATAATTTTTTAAATTTATTCAGTTCCACGAATTGTTTAAGAATTCCCAAAATTATACTGACCACCAGACAGATATTGTCCTTCTGCAAGTTTAATCATTCTTCGCCGCGCGAACAGAGTGAATAAAATAAATGTTTCTGCTTGAGAAATTGACGGTAATTAGGAAAAGCAATCTTCAGCCACATTAATGAAAACTAACAGACATCGCTGAGGAACACACCCATCGAAATTAATATTCATAGGGTTTAGGGTGATAAAGCAAATGAAAAATAGCTGACAGTGAGACTTTTTCACCGCACCATCGAAGAAGACAAGGCGTATAAATGGGAAAATAATATTTGGGAGACAATGGGAGGTGTGATGAAGGCGGGAGTGCACAGAAATAGCAGAGAAATTATACTCATCATTTCTCAACCAACACCCGCACACTCTGTCGATGCTGATGAACTTTATATAATTATCAAGTAGCCAGACAACAAAGCTTGCGATGGCGAATAACAAATTGCTAATTGTTATTCATGACATTATAATGTCGACTGCCAGAGTGAAGCCCGGACTTTGTAGCTCGTTTGAGATGTGATACCTCACCCGGTCGAATCGACACCCCGTCACAACAGCCCCAACTCCCCTCCGTCTGAATTACCCTGGAGCTTGCGTCACACATGACACGCGAACACCACCCCAGAGAATGACCACTGATTATCCCTCACTGACCTCACTTTCTCACACACACTCTCAGTGGTTATGAGGTGTGATTTTAGAATGCCGAGCGCAAACGTGCACGGAAAATATTTAGTGGAAAATTGAGAAAATGCAAACTCTGTCCCGCTGGACTGTGGAGGGCAAATTGGAAAAGTTTCCATTACATTCTCAAAACGAGAAAAAAGCATAGAGTGTGAAAAGTTTCACTAAATTCCTCGCATTTCAATTGTGGCGCCCTTCAAAAATTCATATCATTTTTTGAATTACATTGCCACACCAGCGGAAGCCTTTTGTAAGGGTTGCTCGAGGGCATTCACAGTATGATTTTTAGCTGTGTACCAATTTTCCCCAGCTAATTTTCACACTCACCTAACAATCTTAAAGTTACTCATGTGGAAGAATCCAAATATATATAGCGAAAACGTGAGAGGCTAGTCATTAAAACGGGTAGTTTCGCATCTGCCAGGGTAGCGCGAAGACCGCCAGAAAGTACTTGACAGTGCAAAAATGTGTCACGCCGGAGTCCTCCAACTCTTCAACTCCCACACTCTGTAGCGTACACGTAATATATTCTACATCGCGTCGTTTAGACTTTGCATTTTATCGCGAGACGAGATAAAAGTTGCCATCTCGTGTGTCGTTCAGTTTGTCGCATGGTGAGTCCTCTGTGAAAGCCTGAAAGCTTCTCCTAATGTGAAACTTGTGTTCTCCTTCATATGATATAACACCTCCTATTCTTGTCACACTTTTCTTTTGTCACCAACATCCTGCTCTCTCTCACTCTCTCTCTCTCTCTTCATATTCATTTCCATTCATCAGCGATTCTGATACTTAATGGTCAAATGATTTATTGCCAGAAAACGCAATTTTCTGCCAAATATCGACTCGTGCGGAACAATATTACAAGAAATCTCCTTCTACGAGACCATAAAGTAATCTAACCCATACTTGAGGCAGTCTCCACCGACTCAACAACAATATTAGAATTCAATGACATTCGCGCGACGAGATGGGGGAAAAGTCTCCCATTCCGTGCACTCCACCTACCTATCATGAGCCGAGAAACGCAATCTGATGGCATGAGCAGGACCATAGTCGGGCTTTGACGGATCGTAGCCCACATGTCGACGTCTGCGACGATGGAACTCGTGGTGACGATGAGCGACTTCGAGTTCGGATCTGTCGTATTTGGCGGCCTCCCAGTGGCGGATGTACGGATTTATACTCACGGCCGAACCTGCAGCGAACAATACAAAGTAGAAAATATAGTAGATGCTAAATAGAATTAATTACTTATATTGAGGTACTCTTGCGCGCTATTATGCGGGTGTGAAAAGAACTTCTTCAAGCGCATCATAAAAATCCAAATGATAGAATAATAGAGTAATTGATATTCTAATTTTGGGAAATTGCTAACTCAATTGCAAGTTCGCTCTCAATTTTGCAAACATAATAATATTCATGTTCGAAAACATTTGTACAATATTTTAATTAATTTGCAAAACTTCTCTTTCAAATTTTTACATAAAGCATAATTTCTCCCTCAGTTGTTCATTTTCAGGAATTTGAAATGTACACATTTGCATATTCGCCAGGAGAAGTTCCATGAAATTTCGGATATTGGTATATTTCACTAAATAAATGCGAAGCATGGCGCAAATGGTGCTGCCATAAAGACAGTGAGATATCGAGAAGCCAATCCAGTCTGAGTGAATAAGTCTCTAGGGCAATATTACCATTCAACATCACAGAATGGTGAAAGATAATTTTCTGATCCAGACCAAAACACATTTCAACTCAATATAAAACTGTCAACTATTCCAATATCATCTGACATGTCGCAATGTCTCAAACATTTCTCCATGCAAGGATATGGAAAGGACTATTGATTCATCACGATGTCACGCTGTTCGAAATATTGCCAATTTCATCCACTATTTCAAGCTCAGAACATGTATTCGATGATTAGCAATCATTTATACCTCCCTCAGTCAAATATTATCTAAATATTTCCAGATAATTTTCTGAAAGAATATGACTGACTTTCTAAACGAGAGTAAAATAGTGTGTAATGAACGAAAGAATACTGATGAAACTTCAAGTGTTCAATTCAATTGGATATTGAAGATGGAGAAAATTGAATTTTTCCAATTGACTATAAACGCTACATTAGATGATTATTTGTTTTCCGCCCTGAAAATGAGGAAATCCTGATAAAATACGCAAAATGAGCCTAATTTCATAAATCTCATCTGCCTTCAGCATTATAAATTGTATCTTATTACCCGCTAAAAGAAATCTCAAGTGATTCTTTCTCCCTCACTCTCTCAGCGTTAAGGAAAAGTGATTCTCCAGTTATTGTTTCCATAATATAATATCCACTTACATAATACATATATATGTATTTTCGGGTATAACACTGACTGTGTTTTCCTTCCCGGCTTTTCAACAGGAGAGCGATGAAAAATTGAAAAAGCTCTCGAATGCATAAATCTCCTCCACTTTTTCCACGGCATTGGCACAGTGCTATAGTTCAAATTGAAATTTAATATTCAAATGACAACACCCCACCCTCACACTTCGCTATCTCCCTTTCGCACCACGCGAAAAGCCAACTCTGGTCCGGATCAAATATACATTCCATCGCAAATAATACAGTTTGAAATTCAGACTATTGGTTATTGGTTTTATAAAATGCTACATTTCTCACACCGCCTCATACTTACTCTCCTATGTAATGTGCAGACCGACTTTTTCATTCAATAGGAAGCCCTAGAAAAAGTCGAGAATGGAGGAAAAAACGCCAAGAGAAATGGTGTTGTTGAAAGAGAACTTTTGGAAACCAGAGTGAAAGAGAAGGCAGTCAATATTCACATTGCTGACAAAGTGCTTTGAGAGCTTTTCACTGTAGAGGATTTATCGAATACAAAGAATTATGTAAATCGATGCTGAAAAACTTCGTCTCAATTAGTTTTTCTCTTTCTCTTTCCCGTTCTCGCAATTGCGCTCAGTCACAATAAAAATCTCAAGGAAAAATATTTACATTCATTAATGACCAGAGCAGAGAAAGCGGAAGTCCAAATGCCTCACAAAGCTGCTCTCTGTGGCTTTAGTGAATGATGACAAAAGGACAAGAGAAGCCAAAAGATACACACACACACACACACAGGGTATAGATTATCACCCACAAGAAAGTTCACGGATCACCACATGGTCATTGAGCAAACTAATTAGCCAGAGGAATGTGGTAGATTTTCCCTCACTAGCTCTCTTCTTGTTATCTCACTTTTGCATTTCCCTCAACTTTCCTCCGTCTGCGCGCACACACACACACACTTGTCGAATGCACAGCGTCAGAAATTTTAAATCCAAATGGATTTTGAGGAATACATTTACATTTTAGACGAATGGATAAAAAAAGATGCACAAATGAGCTTAAGCTAAAAAGCGTAAACAGAACACACATAAAGGGAATACTCATTGCATGAAAACTCCCAGGGAGCGTGGAAGCCTTGAGAGTGTATCTAATGCATTTTTATAAGATTCGGTTAGTAGCGCATCAAAATTCATTCTAAATGCACTCTCCCGGTAAGTGAATAATACCCCTTTTCTGCGCTCGCACACCATGTCTCTTCGGGTCACCCCAGCCACCCATCATACACTTTTGCATTCGTTAGCATGTAGTCAAAGGTTGACGGCACCAACAGGTTTTCGCATTACCCAGAGTGATGTGCGATTTCTCTGCTCCTCTGCCCAGGTAACCGACTCTCTACACCCTCACCTCATATTTGCCCAACACTCTCTCACTGCGGTCGCCGCTAATGCCATATCAAGCCAAGTAGCCGTGAATACCAAATTGCACTCCATTCTCCCCATCAGCCATCGCGTCGTAGCTCCCACCTCCAAGACAATTCACATTGCCTCCCATCCAAGCATTAATCCAGCGATTGTATCACACGCAACATTGATGCAACCAACACTCTTCCATATTCACCCAGCATTACATGTAATTTTGTTTTTACATACACTCACACTTCTTGTGGGGAGCACGAGAGAGGAGAAAACATTGTGCTACTAGTTGCATAATTCAATATCACTTCTAGTTTTTGTTTTTTGGCCAATTCACATGCCATTTCTGTTCTGCCATTTGGCATGGATTTGAATAATCAGGTGTAATAGCAATCTCTCCTAAGAGTCTTTGGCCATTCAAATGGTAAAAAAAACACAATTGAACCCAATAAAATATAATTGAATTAATTGCACCTAAATTTCTCCATTTTTTAATTGGTTTTATTAATACAGCCATTCAAATTTCACTTCAAATTAACCGTACACCTTTCTCAAAGTCTTCTCTGACACAATTTACCAACCCACCTCTTCTAAACATACCGTGAAAAGAGTCTAATAATCCTTGTGCATTCTCCAATCCACCACGAACTGAAAATGTCCAGGGCAAAGGTCAAAGTTTGCTCCACGTATGCATTGAATTCAAATTGCATTTCTGTAACACCATTTGTTCGCTAGAGTGCATAGAATCCAGCGGCAACTCATCTGCCATCGGTGACCCTCAGCTATAGTGTGACATGGTATTGCAAAAACAGGCAATCATTTGACCAGCATTGCGTTCACGGCCCACGAATCGGACACTCTTGACACACTGAACTACAATATTCTGTATCAAATCGAAGAGGAACGTGGACCGCGAGGCGGAGCGGAAAAAAGGCGATGAAGTGAATGTAAATTTGAGCACCAAACGAGAGTGCATGACAAATTTTGGATGGCAAATATCTCAGCTAATTTAACTTGATACCCATTACAAGAATTTAATTACACACATAACCTATTTCAATATGATGTGCAAATTTGCTCATGGCGCCACACAATGTGTGACTGCTCTGCAAATGCAGATGAAGATCTCTTAGCGGCCAATTAAGAGTACAAAAGTGAATGCATGTTGCGACGGGAGATGTACATATTAAACTAACTTTTTAAGGAGTTACATAATTCCCGTACCACCTCCGCCAGTGAATTTGTACTTCAACCAAAATTAATTACATCAAGTGAAGACTGGCTCATTTTGGCGGTGTTCCGTATCAGATAATAGATTAAATTTTAATTATAAACTCAAAAAGAGCCCATTTAGAGCGGAGAGGCAAAACTCTCCTCAAAGAACTTTCTTCGTGGCCAAATTTTCACTTTGTGAATTATTAATGTTCGCATAAATGTAACATAATCAGTCTAACAGTTCTCTTATAATTTAATTTATTACAAACCACAATAAACAGAGAAGCGTTACTTGCAATTTTATCGGTATCTTTATAGACTTCCATTCTCTACTTCATTTCTCCATCCATACGTTTTCTATTTCTTTATCACCACACTTCTATTGTTATATCGCTCATTCTTTCAACCTTTGTTGCACCGATTTTCAGTTCATCAGTTAATTGAGTGACTCTGCAATAGTCATATCCTGCTATATGAGGTAGTCACATCATTGCGATAATTGCAACCCCAATTCATTTGTCTCTGTTTTTCAAGACTCTTTCTCGACTAAAGCGAATGAACTTTTTCTCACAAAAGGATGACTCAAAAACACACTTTAAAACTTATCATCATTTCCGTGTCTCTCAGGGAAGATAGTAATTCTTCATGAAATCAAAAAGAACATTATGTACCTTGTTCAAAATATGAGAAAGCGCAGAAACCAAAACCCATTGAATTACCAGAACATCTCTATAATATTTGCGCAATTTTGACTTTCTTGTCACGACTCTCGGAAACTCTTCATCAATATAAAAGAAGACAATAATCTTTGCCAAGAGAATTGTACCTCAAAATTAGAAATAATTTCATATATTTCTCCGCGATGTTCAACTTATTAAAAGAAGCATGCGAAAAATATTTCGCCTTCACAGAAAATCTCACGAAAGAGTAACCCATTTCCTCAATATTTGCAAGAGATCTTGAAAAAAAAGAAATTCCACCTTCCGAAAGGCCAATTACACATCATCAAACTCTCAAATCCATACCAATGTGGGATGGACTTTCGTCTCTCAAGTTGTTTTCTTGAAGTATCACCACATGCTCAATTTCATTATATCACGTAATTGGCGGAACGATAATTTCATAAATAATGATGAAAACTTATAAGAATCACAAGGCCATAAACAATGGCATTTATAACGGAGATTCTCTCTCCTTTTCAGCATTGCCATAGAACATTTCATTAATTTCTGA